CGCCCCATCGCCGCGCTGATTCCCAGGGCCTCACCGTCCCCCCACACACACACCGTGAGACCCCAGAAAATCCTCAACAGCCAGGCGGGCGCGCAGCATGGGGCTCCGCCGCGCGGGGCCCCGCCTCCGCCAGTCCTGGCCGCCCTCCCTGAACGGTGGATGTCCCCCAGCGGGGCCCCGGGACCCGAGTTCAAGTCCCGCCCGCACTCCCCGCTCTCGCTGACACCCAGCAGGGCCAGGCCCCCGCAGCGCTGTCATCCACTCAGACACTGAAGTTAGCCCTGCCCCCCCCCCCACTCCCCAGGAAGGAAGCGCCGCCTTGCCCCTGTGCAAGGACCCAGTAAACAGTCCCCGCGACTCGACCACATTAGATCTGCGATCGTGATAGGCGTGCCAACGGGGCTGAGGAAGTAGGTCAGAGCTGCTGGCGCTGTGCGCACAGGAAAGCGCTGGAAGTAAGGCACAAGCAACGGGGCTTTGCCTGCTCAAGCTGCTGGCCCCGCCCCCGGCGCTGCTGGCCCCGCCCCCGGCGCTGCTGGCCCCGCCTCCCGGCGCTGCTGTGCTGGTTTCCCCGGGACAGGCCGCTCTGGAGCTGAGGCCTGAGGCGCACAGTGCAGAGCCAGCCCAGGCAGGAAAAGTCCGCGACTCTTACCTCCAGTCCAACTACCACCAAGCCAGAGTGGGGCTGTAGCTCAAGGGGTGGATGCTAGTGTTGAGTAAGAACAGCTAAGAGGATGCCAGGCCCCGAGTTCAAGTCCCAGCACTGACAAAAATAAGAGGAGGGGAGCAATATAAAAATCCAGTGTAAGAATTATTGTTGGGAGGTTGGGGCTGAACGTGTCTGTGCAGTTAGAGTTTGAGACATTAGGACCTCTGGGCTGGGCAGGTGGCTCAGTGGTAGAGCACTTGCCTTGCATGCCTGAGGCCCTGGGTTCGATTCCTCAGCACCACGTAAGCCAAAAAGAAAAAAGCCAGAAGTGGTGCTGTGGCTTAAGTGGTAGAACGCTAGCCTTGAGCTGAAGAGCTGAGGGACAGCGCCCAGACCCAGAGTTCAGGCCCCACAACCAACTGAAAAAAAAAAAAAGGATTGTGGCTACCAAACATCATAAGCTGCTGACCTGTGGCTGGTGGAAGT